AGCTAAGGGGCTCCACTAAACCATCGAATTTCTCTCGTATCCAATCCCTACAATTCAAAATCCTTCGTAAAATCCTTAATGCTCCTTACTTTGTCACCAATAAAATAATCCATAATGACCTTAATGTTCCTTATGTTTCCGATTTGGCCCAATCCAGATACCAATCTTTCCATAATAAACTTCAGATCCATCCGAATTCTCTTGTTTCTAACCTAGCTTCCTCTTCAATTCCTGATAATCCTCCGAGGCGTCTGAAAAGAAGATGACCGCGTTATCTCCTTTTGTATACATATTATTAGAGTGCTACCGGTGGGTAGTTTCTGAACAAGCGTTTTCATGTGATGATATTTCTGTGTGCATTTACTTAATGTATTTATATTAATACAGTTGTAAATATCTTAAATAAAAAATATTATTTTCTTCTTATTATTATTCTTTGTGCCATCGATATGTATTTTGGTTGGTGATTACATGCATTTGTAGAATATATATGTGATTAGATTGAAAATAAACCCAATTTCATATTCCCACATCTACCTCGCTTTTAAGGCTATATGGAGATTTTCCCTGATCAGGAGAGAGGGCGGGGGATTAACGCTAGAATTAAAAGCCCACCGGCACCGGGACGGAAACTCCTAATTATTTCACATCTGTAAGCTTTGGTTTACCAATCATCTGGTTGTCGAGCAACGCGTTTTTTTCACACACGTTAACTCGCTCGATCGCACAGCCTCCCTCCAGGCCCATTCGTAAATGTTGCTTCTGGCCCATTTGAAGTTGTTACTCTTTCCCTATTTATAGTAATAGTTCCTGATCCACGAATAGTTGATATAATTTTCACACATAGAGTTATTATAGTTGGTATTCTTGGCTCATTTATAGTTTTTGATGCTTTAATTACTTCTTTTGAATTTCAGGTAAGTATTAAATCAATTAATAATAAATATTATATTATATATCCATTGTTGAACCAAGAAAAGCTTAAACGTAAGAATAGATGTATGAGGGCACATTCAGTTTCCTAAAAGTTTTTAAATATCTTCTGATATTCTGTACTTGATGCTTTACAACTAATTACTTTTAATTAATATAAATACTAGAAGAAAACATCATTTTTTGATAATAAATAGTTGCGAAAAAAAAACGAAAAAAAAAAACACTGTAGCTTGAATAAGAGCCCAGAAAACAAATAACATGTTTGTTTACTTCTAGGATCAGAAGTAGGTTAGCTCTGGGGAGGAGGGATGGGAGAGAAGACGGAGGATTGTGTGCCAGGGAAGGTAACTAATGCCCTTTCTCCCCCATACCTTCGGTCAGCGAACTGTTGAAAACAGCTGAGTTAGGAAAGAATAAATATTTTAAAATTGATTCTGAATATTTTCATAAGTTCTTTAGTAATTATTAGTTTTATACACAGTTTTATAGCATATAGGAGCTACTACTACTTCCTGCTGAAAAATTAGATTAACTAGTTTGTTAAGGTTGCTAGGTGCAGTTATTTTCATAGCAATACCAAATTTGAGAGAAAGTTCTATACACTTATGAAAAACCAACCAGGTGATAGGAAAACACGTTTTTAGGTGTTAATTACGCAATTTTACGTATTTTGAATTTTTACTTCACGATATTACACATTTTGAGTTTTTTTCTGCACTTTTTCCGAATTCTTGCAAAAATCTGCGAATTTGCACGAAAATCCGGTCTCTAGTTATTACTAAGGTCTGGGTGTATATGTAGATGCATATTTTTTGCACCTTTGCTTCAAAAATGTGAGTCAATATCTTTAAGAAGGAAGAGATTCTAATTCTTTTGGCCTTTTCATGCCCCATATTTGTCCAAAATTTTATTTTTCTGCCTGTTTAGAATAAGATACATATTATGAATATTTCGATTAATTGAATTTATTTTAGGCATACAAAATTTATGGGTTCGTTAGTATATATAATTGAGCAGCACCCCTGTATATGTGTATCATCTTTTATTTCCTCCGATCTAGCTACAGATAGATTATATAAGACTTTTATAATGTTTACAATACTATTATTGTATTCATTTGAATACATACAGATGTAAATTATTTATAGTAAATATTTATCTGCTCTTTTATTATTATTTTTGTCATTAATTCAATGGTATGACAACAAAAGTAATTTATCGTTCATTTCAAATCTCATTTAGTATTCCATAGTTTATTGTTTGTAGCAACTTTTTGCTGTAATGTGACCATATTGCTCATATTATTTCTTTAATATATCTGTTTAGTTATGTAAATACTTCCGTTACTACTTAGTTTTTAGTTATTTTTTATATTGTAATATGTATTTTGGCCAGATGGTATGTTAATTTTTATGTACAAAATTGTTATTCTTAAGGGACTTTGTCCCAGAATAAAGTTGATTCTTCGATTCTATTCAATTTCATAACTCCATAACAACTTTACGACTAGTTAAAGTGGCTCTTCCCTTCTTTCCGCAGACAATATTTCCTTGGATCTTTCCTATTCCAAACGATCAACACCCGACACCCTTCCTACATCTACAGTCTCCTACAGTTTAAATCCATGGTCCACACCCAAAAAAGAAGATTCCATGTTTCCGACCTTTATATTCCTTACCATAGAACTAAGACATTTGAATATTCCTTTATTGCCTGATCCACTGCCTTCTGTAATTCCTTGCCATCTAATATCCGCCATGCCTCTTCCATGTCCTCATTCAAATATCTTCTCTACCACTTCCTTCACACATCCCAAAATCACGTTGAACAATAAAATAAATATTATAAATCAAATTTTGACTGAAGTGAATGGTTGTTGAAATTGTTTTGAGTTTTAATTTTAAAAATCAACCCATAGTACTTATAATATATTGTTTTTTATTTTATCTGATTTCTGTTTTCTTTTCATTTAAATAATTTTTGTTTATTTTTAAATGGTGTTAATTTTTTATTTGTTATGATATACTTTCACTGAAGATACTGTATATATTCTTTAATTTTGATTAGTGTAATTTTTGGCCAGATGTGGTTTTTATTTTTTGTTCATAATTGTTATTCATAAGGGACCTCGTTCCAGAGTAAATTTATTTTCTATTCTATAACAAACCTTTTCTGGATGTTTTGCTTTTTCTTTCTATACATATAATTCTATTTTTTTTTTTTTTTTTTTTTTAATACAATTATAAGTATAGTTGAGAAGATTTTATTTTATTTTGTCGTTGTTTACATACTATTATTTAAACTTTTGTATTTATTGTTTGAATCTTTATCTTTAAAGACCATTTTCGGCCAGCTATGTATTTTTATTTTGTAACTGTTCATTATTGTTATTCTAAGGGGACATCGTCGTAGGATACAGTTTATTTTCTATTTATATAAATCAATATTTGACATTATATTTCTAGTTATTTTTACAAATTATACTTGAAACGATCAAGTCATATTTTATTCAATATAAAGTAAAACTAAAAAAAAAAAAAATGTTTTACGATATAATAGTGATATACAATATTTATTAAAATACTAAACGAATAATTTAATTTTTGTATGTTTTATGTATTGCCGAATAGACCTCAAGTGGGTATCGAGGCTGCAAGTGGCCTCCGTGAACTAAGAAATAGATTTTAACTAATAAAAATAAGAATTAAGAAACAAATTTTAATAGCTCAAAGTAATGAAATATTAGCCCTTCTGAACAAATTAAATAATAGATACAGTGTTCTTTATTTTCGATGTACAGATATCTATATGGATGCTTATTTCCTTATAAATTAAAAAAGCAATAGTAAAACCAAACAAATATTGCGCCCTCTATTATCACTGCCTAGACTTACTGTAGCCTCTAAAGATAAAAATGCTTTTTACCTATGGTTTAGAAACTTCTGTGTTTTTTAATCAGAAATGTTTTAAACAAAAAATATTTTGTTGATTTAATTTTTTGTTAAATTTACGTTTCTCATAATATCAACAAATTGATTAAAAACAGATAAATAAAGAACAACAAAAGTTCGAACAAAATAAAAATCTTTATTAGATTCCGAATACCTGCCACTCATTTTCTCACTACACGCTGCTAAATATACTACCAAATAAATTTACGTGATTTATTAATGCAGGAGCACATTATTCTATCATGGAGGCTTCTGAATGTTGAGATCCGATCTGACTTATTCGTGTTTTGTTTTTTTCATTAAAAATACAATTAATTTGGTGAATTTCAAGAAACATATATACATATCTTAAGATAATATTCAATAACATTATAATTATTTAAATTCACTTTTCAGTATAGTATCCAGCCAATAATAAATCCTGGTGGTACTTGATACAAAATATGGTACTTGAAAATATTTATTGTTAAACTTGTTTTTTACTTTCTAGTTTACTGTTGTATTCAAGTAGAAAAAAATTAAATTGAGTAGTGAACTGGAAGATGTCGACACACAGAGTGGGAGAAATTACTAAATAAGTATAAGTTAAATATTTAAGGAGAGATGTTCTCTTTAAATTTGCTTAGACTTCTTTAAGCTACTGAAGTGAGATGTGCATTTCTATGGTCTTTATTGATGTGATTTTTCAGTTCAGAAAATGCCTGAATTGCATGAAAAAGAAATAATATAAGTTTGAGCTGGAATGGAATTCAAGAGATAAAAAGCGGACATAAGATTGAGATAGCCCTTTTCAAATAATAAAAAAAGTTCATATTCAGTTCAAAACTAAAAATAACAGTCTGGAAGATATGGTGGGGACTGGGGAGTGTAGCAAGTATGGAAGCCAGCCGCGGAAGTATTGTAGCTTTAAATCCAAAGTTTCAACTGGTATGAGGTTGTACGATTGCTAGAATACAATTCATTTATTCCATTCATGGCTACATGTTAAAACCCAAAAGAGTCTTAAGTTTCGTTTGGGAATGAAAGATATCCAATTATACCACAATTATTCATTTGCTACAACCAAATACTTAAATATATTTTTAGGTAATCTGAAGTTTAATAATTACTTACCCCGCATAACTCCTCTACAAGAATGAGTGATATTCCTGAAAAAGAAAAATAATAAACCAATTATATTATAAATAATTAATAATAGAAAAACAATAATTATTTATTTAGGTTTTAGAGTACTCAAACCAGTCCAGAAAGAACTAAATATTCTACAGGTAAAATCTATTATACACAATAGAACTTTTAATCTGCTGCGGTCAACATGGTGTCAAACTTTATTTTTATTTCTCTCAATTATATAAAAAGTTTTTAGTGACTTTTATATTTTATTCCATTTTTGTATTAGAAAAATAGGAGATAACAGGAGCTCAACTATTGTTTTACTAATAATACAGTTGGTCAATTAATTACATATGTGTTGAGCTCCTGAATCATTTTACTCTCCTTATACAAAATGAAGATTTTAGATAAAAATTTGTACGGGATATGTTATTCATTTGGAAGTAGAAGTTCGATTTTACGTAGGTGACACCAATTATTTTTCGATCTAGACATTTCTCCCTGAATACAATATATTAATTATAATATTATTTATATTATATTATGGTATAATATAATCACTATGAAATAGAAATGGAAGCACATATTAACGTTCAATGTTACTGTTAGAAATAAAAGGATTAAATTATTGTTAAGCATATAGGAAGCTGAACAACATGCACTAAAAAAAGTTTTTTGTGTGGTCTTAAAGCCATCGATTATCATTACCACCACTTGTAAGGATATCAATTTCGCTTAAAAACACATCGCTTGAAAAAAAAAAACTGTTGAGAATATCTCTTGAAATTTTTTACAGCTTCTTAATTAAATATGGCCGTACTCTATAATTTCTTCTTTTAATTACAAAACAAAAATAATGTAGTACCGAACAAATTATTTGAGCTCTATATTACATTGTATATACTTCTTTATGATCTCAGAAAGCCACGTGAAAATTTGGTGAATTTTTGAAGATGATTGACTTGCAAAAAAATCAACATCGAAAATGAAGATTTTTTTTTATAATCACCCGAATAGGCATTTTAGAATTAAACGCTCCTAAAGGTAAAACCTCAATTGCGATGGATTTAGGGCGTCGACACAATCGTTACGAAACTACTTGTTTTAATCGACATAGAAGACTCGATAGCTGAGACGAGCTCTCTGTGTATAATTGAAATGCACACTTTATGACTACTTTCGGTGGAATGAAATGAAATGGAGAACTTTTCAAGCGAGAGACATTTTTCACAACATGATGGACGGGTCTGAATCAATTAAGTCCAGTTCTGCGAAACAGTAGTCCCTCGTTAACAACATCACGATAAGAGAGCTAATCACCCAGCTCACTTTAAAATATTTCCTTTTAAACTCAGTAACATTTGACGAACAAGTTTGTCGTACTAACTATAAATTTCACAGTAAATATATCAATAGTGACAAAACAGAAAGATCCAAGCGCCGAAACGTAATTGAGATTTTACTACGACTTTGCACTATTAGTGATACAGACCACTTTTTAAAGATTGAAGCAATAAATCTACATCCTGTTTTAATGAATACTATATTTCTTGAATTTAAGGAATGCTGATATAGCTCCGTCAAAAATTTCCAACATGTCGGGTCAATTTTGTCCGTCGACCTAATGAAACCCTTTTACACTGTTAACTTTTTCAAAGTGAGTTCATACGTAAGTAATCACTTACAAACCCGTTTCATTACAAAACCGTGTTTTAGAATATATTTTTGGTTTTTCACATATAAATCCAAAAAAGTTCCAGCATGAAAGTCACTCTTTGAATCAAATTCGTACCTAAACTTAATATTAATTTGGTTAACAGGTTTGGTTTAAAATTTCGGTCAACGAAAGATAATTTTATCAACTTTGTTAAAATCTGAGATATATTCCTACAAATAACACTTCAGTTTCGAAATGAACTTCCTGATAAAAAAAAGAATCGTGTGACAAAAGTTGTAGTATTTCAATTTTTGAGCGATTTACTGAATTTCTGACTTTTTCTTTTTAAATCTATCACATGTAATCAATGAATCTTCTACGGTCGTAGTTTGGAGAATCCTCGCTTATATCAAAATTTTGATCATGGCCGTTTTTTAAATGCAATTGCATTAACTAGCATTAAACTGTTGAAAGTTTAATAAATCTAGTGAGGAAATTAATTACCTAAATTATTAAAAGCAGTCTTGAGTAATGACAGGAGCAGTAATTTGAACTATAAATGAAGTAATCATGGAACTATTTGTCAACTGGTGGGACTGAAAACCTGTTCGCCAAAATCTAACTATTTCGTACACTACAGTGAAAGTTTGCATCAACTTTTGCTAGGATTATTTTTAGATCAACAACTATTTATAGAAGTGGTGCTTTATAATATTTCTCATATTTTGAAAGTATATTTTGTCCTGCTAGAGTGGCGATGAGCACCACAGTCTCTCGGTCTAAAAACTGAACTTATTTAACCGAAGATCGTTCATGGGTTGTAGTGGTACAGATTCAAAGATACAATAGAAATAAAGATATACTGTTAGTGCAAAACTCCTTTTTTACAGAAGACAATAAAAATTTATTATTTCTTTATGATTTAGATAGACAGATAGATAGAAGATAACCTTTATTCTGGGACAAGTTCTCTTAAAAATAACAATTATGAACAAAAAACAAAAACCATATCTGGCCAAAAACTATATTAATAAAAATTAAACAATATGTACAATATCTTCAGTGACAATATATAAGTAACAGAAAGTAAAAACATTGGAAAAAACAAAACAAAACATATTTGACATGAAAAGAAAAACAAAAATCATGAAAAATAAAAAACAAATAAACACTAGTTGATTCATAAACTTTTTTTTTTTTAATACATAAACATAAAAATTAAATTGCGATCTGCTAATTTCTTTGCAATGAGCAAATTTTTTGGCAGCTTCACAGCGTCCCATCACAATCCAGGAAATAGATCAGTTCAGCAGGTCTCTTGGTCAGCGCCTACGTAATCGCACAGATGGGCTGTACGGAGTGCATTTAAGGTTTTTTGTCAGAGGATTAATGTTGTAAGTTAGTCTTTGGTGAAAGTTATTGTAGTTTTCTTTTCCAGTGTCTAAAATTGTTGGAATGTTCAAGTGTTTATGTAATCTATCCTTTGGGACATAAAATGGTGCGTCAACTACCATTAGTAAAATTTTGGATAGGAAAGACTGGATTTTTTTAATATTGGAAGTTTTAACAGTACCCCACAGTTCTATGCCATAAGTCCAAAGTGGTTTAAGTAAAAATTTATAGAGAGTTAGTTGGTTAGTCAAAGATAATTTTGAACGGCTGTCAAGTAACCTAGATAAAAGACCGTATCGTCTGTTTTTTGTCTGTTTATCGTCCATACGTTTTTGTCTAATGTGTGTCCTCCAAGTTAGTCTTTTGTCAGGTAAAAACCCGAATAATTTGAATGAAGAATAGGAAGAGGCATGGTGGATATCAGATGACAAGGAATTCCAGAAAGCAGTGAACCGGGCAATAAATGAATGTTCAATTGTTTTACTTTTACGGGAAGGGACCAAAAATCAACACGGGATCTTGTGTTCTGGGAGTGGACCACGGGTTTGAACTGTAGGAGACTGTTGGTGTAGGAAGGATACCAGGGGTTAGTCATTTGGAATAGGTAAGATCCAAGGAAATGTTGTTTCAAAAACAAGGAAAAAGCTACTTTAACTTTCCGTAAAAATAGGAAACATGAGATCTCCTCGAAGTATGGAAGACAAATCTCAAGATGGAGTTCTATAAGTAGCTTTACTCTTTCTTCGATTACCATCGGGATGCCATCGTACACCACACAACCGTAGTCTAAGTGGGTGGAAATTGGAGACTATACAACAAGCGTGATTTTTTTTTATTATTAGTTCTTAGTGATATTTACAACTGTATTATATAAATACATCTAGTAAATTTGAACATATGGATATAATGACATGAAAACACTTGCTGAGTAACAACCCAATGGTAACACTCTAATGATATATCTACATTGAGATAACGGGTCCATCTTCATTTCAGACCCCTTGGAGGGTTATGAGGAATTGAAGAGGAAGCAAGGTTAGAAACGAGAGAGTTGGGATGGTTATGAAGTTTATTATGGAAGGATAGGTATCTGGATTGGGCTAGATCTGAAACATAAGAAACATTAAGGTCATTATGGATAGTTTTATTTGCAAAAAAGTAGGGAGCATTGAGGATTTTACGAAGGATTTTGGATTGTAAGGGTTGGATACGAGAGGAATTCGATGGTTTAGTGGTGCCCCATAGCTCAACTCCGTAAGTCCAAATAGGTCTTATTAGAGTCATGTATATGAATCTTTTGTAATTAATTGGAAGTTTTGAGAGTTTGCCTAGTATGGCATGAAGTACAATTTTATATTTTATTTCTCTCTGCTATATTCCATAGTAGCATACTACTTATTGCAGTTGCAGACTACAAAATGTCACCCATAGCACAAATAGAATAAATATAGAAAATTGTTAAAAACAATCTTCTGCACTGACAGTAGCAATATACTATGATGTGAATTTCACACTAAAAAAAATTATGAGGATTTAAAAAAAAAGCTAAAAATCCTATTAATTTCCGATCCAATAATATGAAGGTATCCCTTTAAAAAAATAAATAAATAAACATTCGCTTGAGAAGGTCCATTACTAATCGGTGATGATAATGAAGTCGATGTTGTAAAGTATATTATTTATTTACGATAGTTAAAAATTAGTGATAAAAATGTTATCGCCGTAAAAGTCAATTTTTTTTTTGTATAATAATCACCTGATTTCCAAAATTTACTTTTTTATTAGGCTTGTAGATAAACCATTATCTACATAGAATGGAACTAAACATAGGTTCAGTTCTGTAAAACTAACATTATTTCTGACTCTCGTTTAAATAATTAACCTGTTTATTATTAGCATTTTTCATATGTGTACCGAGTGTATGTAACGAATCAAAGAGTAAAACCATAATGTAACCATAAGTATGTAACCATAAATTAAAAAAAA